CACCGAGACAGAAACGGCAACTTACACCCGTGTCCTGTGGTCTCAGGATTCCCATTTGTGGCTTTCCCAGCCAGCTTCCCTCAAGAAAAGACGGGGGGAAGCCAGCAAAAAGTCACAGTCGTGTGATGTCTTGCTTAATGACCAGTGGTCACGTGATACCTCACTGCTTAATGACAAATTTTCAAAGACTTTTGCGGTCATAAGTCAAGGACCCCCTGGAAGAAGAGCTTGGGATGCAAGCACAGTTTTCATAAGAGAATAGTTTAACATAAAGGTAACTTTAAGGAGAAAAAAGCAAGAGAGAATACAATTTATTCGGGATGAGATTAAAAAAAAAAAAGGGAAGAAGTTTTAAATAGTTCCCAGAGAGGACATCTATTATCCACCAAATTAAGCTTCCACAGAGACAATTACTTGTGCTAATTAATAACAATAATTAAATAATTAATAGAGTATTATCAATCAGCGAGATGGAAATAAAGATCAATTTATGCAAAAAAAAAGAAGAAAATCTTGAATTTCCAAATACTGGGAAAATGGTTGGCATATAAGTTGGACAAAAAAAAAAGAAAATAAAGTAAAACTAAAGTTACCCTTGAAAAGAACGGAACAGAGGTCCTATTGGTCATTGCCTAGCAACAGAGTAAACATTCCGATGAGTGACAGTTGGCTGCAGCCTATATAAAGATTGGGCTAATTCTGGTCTCTGCTGGAAACAGCCTTTTGCTCAGGTGGGTATAAATTTCATTCCTGAACCTTGGACCTGCTGATCACCTTGAATTGGACCTTGGAGAACTCTTTTGTATGCTCTTCTTTAAAAAAAACACAGACCCAATTGGAAGGCAAGGCTTTTCTTTGATTGACATTCCTGGGACATTGATAACTGTTGAGACCTGAAAACAAAACTGATATTCTCTCCTAGGACCAAAATTAAATAGAGACAGTCTTGCCTGGGATTTTAGGCTTCATTGTTAGCATTTTAGAAGGCGATATTAGCAGTTTTAACTCGGCAAGCTGGACCTCTTTTTTAAGTTCAAGAAAGCAGATTTTTCTCTTCTTAGCCAAGGCCATTTTTTTTCTTTTGGTATGTGAGAATTTGCTTTTTCAGCCACTAAACAATAAAGCGTGGATTCTGGAGAGCCTTGGATGCCCTTCCAAGTATTAAGTAAGATAAAAATTTATCTGGGAAAGGGAGTATATATAAGCTGTAAGTTTTCTAGAATCAATACTTTCTACTGAAATCCATCTCTTACTGTTTGATCTTTTTTGCCATATCAGATACACCAAAGGTTTGTATTTGTTTCTGAATCCTATAAAAAGACTTTCCCACCCTCCCTGTCACAGGTTCCACTAACTAGGCCCAGTTTGGTGGGATCAAGGCACATAAGAGGTAGCAACAACGCAGGTTCCTAGACAACACACACACACACACTATGTACTACTCACTCTTCTCCACAGCTACTCCCACCTGTCTTACTCCTTGTGAGGACTGCTAGAGAAAAACATCCCTTTCTAGGAGCTTCAGGTTGCTTTACTTCCACACACAAATACGCACCTTCTTTCCCCACACCCTCAGTTGTTTCACAGCACAGCTATTCCAGGCATCTTGGCTGTGCTGTCCCTGGGGAGAGGCCTTGGAGAAATGGGACAGAAATAGCACAGGAGGTGTCAACTTTCTGGGCAGATTGCTCCTTCCCACACACAGCCCTTAATGGAGGCTTCTTGCTTTGCCTGAATTGCTGGGTGTTTCCTGTTTTCGGGTGGGCAAAGAAGCCCCTTTGCAAAGGGAAAAGCGCCTCTTTCGAATTCAGGGCTCAAGTTCTTACCAGCTCCAGGCCAAAGTCGGGGTGTCTGAGTTGGGAGGCAACAGCAGTACCTGAATAAAGAATCTCTTAAGAGACGATGCAGTTACAAAAGGGGCTGCCTGCAGTCCCTAAAATGGCGGAAGGCTGCTACAGTCTACTCAAAATGGCGGTTGGCTGACTGCCAATGGGATCCAACTCAATGTGGCAGATGGTTTTTCCTCCCCCCTCTGAAGTTGGCAAACTGCCAGTCTCTCAATGCCTCCAGGAGTGTCCCAGAGTCCCACATGCATTTGCAGCCTGTTTTCAGGGGTTCCTGAAAGGATTGTGCAGCTTCTGCAGCTTCTTGGCTGGAGGAAGGAGAAAGCCATCCGGCATGTTGACTCCTGTCCTGTCCCCATTGTTCTCTATTTACGTTGCCTCCAAAATGAAAATTCAGAAAAAAGAAAAATGTAATCTTAAAATCAACTACACCCCTTATTAATCAGCAGTGATCTTTGGAAAGTGGAAGGAAGGTGGCAGCAGATAAATATGGGGCTGGAGAGAATATCCTTCCTGGCTATCAAAGCAATGCTAGTTCTTTGTTAATCGCCTCCCAAGTAATAAAATTGTTTGTTTCAACACAGTTGAATAAAAATAACACTACCGCCTCAACCTTTTACTTTTGCATACTTAATATGCATGACTATTTTTATAACACAAAATTAAAAAAAAACCAAAGAGAAAGTTTCATTTTTTTCTGTCTCACCCACAAAATCCAGAAGCGGTTTCCAAGTAGAAACAAAGTTGGATGTTTTTTTTTTTTATTAAAGAACTTAATCTGGCCATTCTCACTTCTGTCAACATGGATAACAACAAAGTTCCTTTTTTTCCAAGTTCTTTGTCCATTCAGCCTAAAAGAAATAACTTGGGTTTAATTTTTATATTCTTTTTGAGACTCTTCTGTATTAAAACACAAATCTTATTTTAATATTTTAAAAATGTGCATTTTTTAACAAATCATTTTATTATAAAAACCTAGAAGAAAGGATCGATGCTTTAAGCAATGCAGCCCTGTTGCTAGTTCGGCAGTTCCTTGAGATCCCCCAGCCCATTCCCACAACCATATTTTAAGAGACTTCTGGAAGGAGATAAGGATGGTGATCTCAGCAGAAAGGTCCAATCTCCTGGGTCTACAGGGAGTCCTCGATTACCAACAGTTCACTTAGTGACTATTGGAAGTTACAAGGGCACTGAAAAAAGTGACTTATGACCGTTTTCCACATTTATGACCATTGAAGCATCCCAATGGTGACGTGATTTACATTCGGATGCTTGACAACTGACTCCCATCTGTGACAGTTGCAGTGTCCCTGGGTCACGTGATCCCCTTTTGCAACCTTCTGACATGCAAAATCCATGAGGAAACCACATTCACTTAACAACCGTGTTCAAAATTTTAACCACTGCAGTGATTCACTTATTAAATATGGCAAGAAAAGTCATGAAATAGGTCAAAACTCACTTAACAAATTCCTCACTTAGCAACATAAATTTTGGGCTCAATTGTTGTAAGTTGAGGACTACCTGTCTGTGTGACTCCTTAACATCCCAAACCCACAACATACTTCTGCTATTGCTGACAGGGTGGATGGATGTAATCGGAAGAGGGGGTCTCGTTCCACGAAGGGCTTCAAAAGTCAAAAACAGCCCCTTGAATTGGACTCCGAAGCAAACTGGCAATCACTGCAGCTGGGGGAGCAGAGGTGTGATGTCTGCCCTTCTTGTGGTACATAAAACTGCCCCCATCCCCACATTTTGTACCCGCTGAAACCTTCCAGATGCTCTTAAGGAGCAGCCCCATGTAGACTGCATTAGAGTAATGCACCCAGGATGGCTATATACATTGGACTATAGACTCTGGGCATCCCTAAAGAAGCAGTCTGGACAGGCTGTGAGGTGTCTGGGTAGATCAGGGGCCTCCCCAGATGAGGCCTGTGGAGGGCTGAGCCTGGAGAAAGAGGCCCCATAATGCTTGGCAAGGCAGCTGCCTCTCCTTCCTCTGATTCCCACAGGCAAAGGCTCTCCTGAGCTGCTTTGGCCTCTCTTGTGTTTGGCTCCTTCCCAAAATCCTGGCTCAGGAAGCAGCCCTGGATCTCATTTGCCAGGGATTCTCCAGACCCACAAAGAATAAATTCATACAGTGGATGTAACTGTGTCAGACACGAATCCGGGAGGTGCCTTTCTATAACCTTCTCACATTGGGTTACCTGCAATCTGGGTGAATTTTTCCTTCTGGGTGTGTTGTGTGTGAATCCTATTTGCACAAAATGCTGCATCGTAAATCAACCAGTTTCTTAAAGCAGACAAGGTTGAGCCTGCTGTGAACCCAGAGCGAAAAGAGAGGATCTGAAGGTGAGGCTCATCCTGCAGACGGCCAATTTCCAGAGACTCACCAGCCATTGTACAGTCCCTCCAATGGCCTGGCCTTCTTCATGGGCAGAAACACAGAACCAGAACTGTGAAAGGGAGGCAAAAGATCCAGACCCTCAGTTGGGTTCTGTTTTTCCTGCACGAGTAGCCAATAAGTCACGGTAGCTGTTTATTTCTGCAGAAACAGAGAGCCTCACATTTGGGGGAGAGGTTCAGATCAAGCGCCCCGAGTGAAAGACGTGTCAGAGATTCATACAGAAAGTTTTTTTGCTATTCACAATCAGTCTATGTCACTTCTTTCACAAGATTAGTGTTACACGTCATCCATTACATTTATCATTTTGGGTACATTTGTTGTACTTAGTACAAGAGAGGGAGACCTTCCTAATCATTGTCGAGAGTTTCCTGCTGCAGGTCTGTAGTTTGTCAGTCTCGCAAGGAAGCCGAAAAAGTAAAGGGGAGCTTAGACAGTCTGGGAGGTAATTGAATCAGTTCTGAGTGTTGCTGGCTTAGTTCAAGATAGTTTGATTAATTTCCGGCTGGTTTGGGGCTTAAACAGGATTTGAGACTTTTCTTCTGATGGGATTCCTGTTGCTTCCCCCCTTTGCTAATGGAGAGGAGAAACTGCAAAGCCGCAAACCAGCAGGGGGCGCCAATCTCCAGCTCATCCGTGTTTCCGGAAATTCTTCCAGCCCGCCTTGCTGAGACTCTCCGGATCTGAAACATTTTCAAAATTTTACATTCACCTGCTTTTGCTCTGGGTTGTTGATTACCCGGAATGCGTCTTTCTCTGCCTGCGACTTCTGGGGAGCGGATCGCAGTTTGAGGATCGCGGCCAGGATGGCGCTGCGCTCTCTGTCGCTCCTGGTGTTGGTGGGGGTCGCCCTGCGGGAGAGCTGCCTCGGTGAGTCCCTTTATCTCCCGGTGGGGATCCATCCAGGGAATCTCTCTCTGTCTCTCTCCTCCCCCCCCCAAAGAGTATTCCCTGGAAGAGAATCCCGATTCGGTCCTCTTTTGAGTCCGCTCCCATTCTGGCCCTTCTCAGAAGGGACCCCAAAGCGTGGATGGGACTTGGCTGCCCCTCCCCCCTCCCCCCCAGGAGAGCCCCTCTGGGAACGGGAGAAGGGGGGGCCCTCCAGAGGTCAGTCAAGTCTACCTGGGCGCCCCCGAGCGCAGTTCTTTCCCTCCCCCAAAGTGGAGGTTGTGGGAAAGCGGCGTTTGCAGGGACCGGGTCAGTTCCCAAACTTCCTGGCTGCCTTCGCACAACCCCTCCGCCTGGCTCCTCTTCCCTGCCTTTGGGGGGGCTCGGGGGCTCTTTGTGGCTTCTGGTGCTGGGAGGAGCCGGCTCGTTTCTCGACTCGCTTCCGTGTATTGGCTGACACGGAGGCTGGAGCACTGGAGCCCTCGGGTTAAGGCTGTCCTGGGAATGCAGCAGGAGAAGAGTCTGGAGAGAAGCCCTCCTTGAACTCTCTTCCCAAAGATCCCCCCTGATTGATTGTCACTTTCCCCTGGATCCCCACCCCCCACCCCGTCCTAAACCCCAATATCCCCAGAACTTTTTTCTAGGACAGGCAGGAATTTTTCCACCCAAAATCCTCCTCCTTCCATTTCAGGAGCCCCCAGCACGGGAGAGTTTGCAGAATCAGAAATATTTAAAGTTTACTCTTATTCGTTGGTCATCAGATCAGAGGTCTTGAGGTGTCCCTAGTTGTTCCTCAGAGAAACTCTCAATGCAGCAGCTTTTCCAAAGGCATTTCCAAAACTGTCAGGATCTGAAGGATCAGAGAGGCTGGGCTGGAGGCAGGAGGAGAGAAGCCCCTTTGGATGGAGAGCCTGAAATGAAGGGCTTGCTTGGACACAGACAGGCCCAAACTGACCAGCCCTTCCTGACCTGAGGAAGATTCGTGATTGTGAGGACGCCCAACCTGCGTTACATTCACATGTTTCTCCTCTCAGGCAGACTTCAGACTCCCTCACTGCTCAGCCCCACGAGGGTAAGAAGCGGGTTCTGGATCACGGAGGGTCCGATCCCCCCTCCTTCTGTCAGAGAAAAGCTCTGATCCATTTGAAATCTCCTTAGAGCAGGAAGTGGATCTGGGGATCCCTCTTCCCAAAAGCTCTGAGAAGCCGCTGGGATTGTGGGGAGGAGCAGGAAAAAGGAGGCCGAGGCCTTTGCCTTGGGAGACTGGGAAGGGCTGAGAGACCATACTGGAGGGAATGGGCAGTGGGACTACAGGTAGTCCTCAACTTACAACAGTTCATTTAGTGACACTTCAAAGTTACAACATCATTGAAAAAAGTGACTTATGAACATTTTTCACACGACCATTTTAGCGTCCTCATGGTCACGTGACCAGGATTTGGATGCTTGGCCACTGGTTCATATTTATGACGGTTGCAGTGATCCCGTTTTGTGACCTTCTGACAAGCAAAGTCAATGGAGAAGCCAGATTCACTTAACAACGGGTTTATTAATTTAACAACTGCAATGATTCACTTAACAACTTGTGGCAAGAAAATTCGTAAAATGGAGCAAAGCTCAATTAAGAAATGTCTCACAGCAGCAACAAATGTGGGCTCGATTATAGTCGTAAGTCGAGGACTGCCTGTATTTATTTCTCGTGGGGGGGGCTTTTGAGATCCTGCCCTTTTCCATGCAGACCCAGTTTCTGCCCAAATAAGTCCCGTGAAGGATCCTGAAAATGATCTTTAAACTCTTTGGTGACCCGGAAGAATTTCTGACCTGAAGAGCTTTCAGAATGGAGACCCAGAAAGGGCCTTGGGGATTTTCATCAGCTTAATCGATTTCCCAGGAGCATTTTATTCATTTTATTTATTTCTTTTAATTCTTTTAATCCACTTACAAGCTGTTGTTTTTCTGTTCCTTGGGCAGCCTCAGAGTCTCTTCCGTGTTTGTGTTTTGGCAATGAAAACTAAACGGTGACTTAATGTGATTTTCTTTTGTCCTTGTTAGTCATGTTTAGCATAGTTTATGTCTTGTGAATTTAGTCTCTCCTCCAATCCAAGGAAGGGCTGAAGAAACTTTGATGCTCCTTGGTTGGGAGTTTGCATGAAGGAAACTGAAATGTTCTATGTTTATCTAGGATTCCCCAGAGGGGCTTTAAAGGTGACAGGACCCTCCATAGAGAGGCTGAGTTTGGGGAGAGGACCCCAGCAGAGCCCCCCCCACCCCACCCAATATGGGAGTTGGCAGCAGGAACTCCCA